ACCTTGAGATACATTAGACCTCATTTCATATTAAAAAAAGGCTTTATCACCCAAACCAGAAATAACCAATGATATTTTGCTTGAAGCCTTTGCAGACAAGAGATTTCTAGCGATGATGATGTATTAGGTTTGGATTGGGTCGAGTTGGCCAAGGTATTTTTCAACCCTATCAGGTTTGAACCACACAAATGTGATCAACCAAATGGTGTTGAACAATTGATCTAGCTTTGCACCTTCATAATTGTTGTATTTCGGTATTGATATAAGTTTCATTGGTAGGTTGTAGTGATGGGATGGATGGGAAGGGATTTTGGGGAAAGAGGGTGATAGGGAGAGAAAGGGGAGGGAAGGGTTTTTGGGGAGTCAAAATTATTATTACAATGGGATTTTTTTTAAATAAATGGTTTGTATTTTATTTTTTGTTTATTTTTTGACAAATGAAAAGGCAAATTAAGAATCCATGCATTTGGAATCGGAATCAGAATGGTTTGTGCCCATAGTCTGTTTTGGTTCATACAGGAATGGGAATGAGAATTTGAATCAGTAAAAATGGGATTTCATTCCCAAGGGAGGGGCAAGGAATAGCCGTTCCTTCAAATAGGTGAATGTCATTCCAGCAGGAATGAGAATGAGATTCCAATTCCACTCAACCAAACAGTTGGAATTGGAATAGTTCATTCCAATTTTGCTTCCAAACCCCTATTCTCGTGAACCAAACGAGGCCTAAGTTTTTTATGTCATCAACAATTGGACGTTTGGTGATGAATAGGTGTCATGCTCGAGGAGAAATCAAACAACCTCGGTTGTTTTAACTTTTATGCAAACACCCAAAGTTTTCCCACTTGATGGATTCAACCAATTTGCATTTTCAACTAGACCTGTTCATGGGTTGGGTATCTCCATGGACTAGTTTGGCCTGTTTCTTAAAAATCTGGCTCGAGGCCAAGATATAATATTTTATATAATTAAAGAATTAATATATGTGTGTGTGTGTTTGGGTTTTGAAGTTTGTTTAATATAAAAAAAACCAGTTTTATTGTTGAACAAAAATAACACAATCTTCTTGCCAAATTTCTTGGTTAGGCTTTGGGCTCGAGCTAGGGCTTTGAGCTTTATATTAGGACCATGCTTGGGCTTAAGATCTTAGGCTCGATGGTTGGGCCAGGCATAGGCTTAGGCTTAGGCCTGAACATGTTTTATTAATATGGAGGCATTGCCGGTTTTATATAGTTATTTGCAATGGTATTACCCAAGGTTCAAAGTATTGATGTAGTCGGTGATTTTTTTTTTATTTTCGAATCTGGTTCAGAGGGGACGATTTAAGGCCCGATGACATAGTACGAAAATGAAACATATTGAGAAAAGCTTTAAATAAAATAACAGAAATCGAACTACCAAGAATAAAATTCTTCATTGAATAATTAAGAGAAATTTCAATATCAAAACTGTCTTAGATAATGGTGACACATGGCAATCACATAATGATGACACTTGAATGATCTTAAATACACATAATTACCATGTGACAATTACATGAATAATAGAGACATGTGATTCAGATAATAGTTACACGTGATCATCAATTCATACGAGACCAAAATTATATTTAGGCCAAAATCACAAAATATTATATATATATATATATATATTTTTTTTTTTTGCATTTTATAAAAGTAGAAGTATAGAACATCCAAACTATAAACTGACAAAGTGTAAAAGAAAGCGAAGGAAAATTAATATCTTTATTTAAAAAACAAAGGTGTATATATAGATACATTAATTAACTATCTTGAGACAAGTGGCCTAACTAATGCAAGCTAAGTCTAGTTGGAGAGCTAGACTAATAGAATTTGTTTCAATAGATTCACACATGTGCTGTTATGTGTCCCCTCAAGTTGGAGCATGGAGTCGGGCCATGCCCAACTTGGGAACTAAAGTTTGAAACTGATACCACCCCAAAGCCTTCGTGAAGATATTTGTTGGTAGCAATTTTGAGGGGATGTGTGCAATAACAATAATTTGGGATTGAATGCGTTGGAAGATGAAATGGCAATCAAACTCAATATACTTGGTTCGTTTTATCCAATGTGAAGGGTTGCTTGTAGAGTTGCATATACTTTGGATGATGGAGGCCCAAATTATGAAAGAGACGTTTTATCCATAATAATTCACCAGTGGTTGCAACCATAGTGCATTACTCGGCTTCAATGGAGGAACAAGATATAGTGGATTATTTCTATCTTCCAAGAAAGAGGAGAAGAGTTAAGAGTGGTAAAGTATCCCGTAGTAGATCGACGAGTGATTAGACAACCAGTAAAGTCAGAATCATAATAAGCCCAAAAAACAAGATCATTTGTTGGAGGGAGATTCAAAATTCCAAGAATCTCTCATCCTTTCCTTGTATTTTTGAGTTTTGTCTTTTCTTCATCCCCATTTTGAATGCATGGAAAGACTCATTGTTCCAAATTGCTTGGTAAATGAGTTGAATTTGAGTATATCTATAGATTTGTTCTCTGTATGGGAAGGGACCCATAGGAGGAAAGTACTATAGATATTCACATGCATGTGATGGGGGGTTGGGGTGCTTTTTACACATGTGCCCTAGGCCGGGCCATGGTGTGGGCGAGGGCGTGTGTACATGTACGTATATACGCACACTGCACCGAATTTTTTTGGTTTTGATCAGATTAAACAATATGACTTTTGAATTTCAAATTTATTTTTTAAATGTTTTATTTTTCAGTTTTGTGTCTTTTCGAACATGTACACTATTTTGAAGATAATTCTCTCTGAAATGACACTTCTATATCCATTTGAGTGACTGAGAACACTCAATAAAATGAGTGTTGGTCGACCCAGAAACACGCACCAATGCACTCAATACAGTATTTTCTTGTTTGTCAATCATTATTCTCTAAGCATCATTATTTGTGGTTTGTAGATGTTTGATAAGCGAGTGCACGACTGTCAGTAGTCTATGGGCTGTTTTATCTTAGCGATCGATTTACAATCACCTGGTTGCACCATAGGGGGCCAATGCGATTTTAAGGAGAGTAACCAAATGGCATGACTCAACCATCATTTTCTTGTAAGTTCTCAATTTCACAATTCTGCAATGTTATAGTTTTGCAAATTCTCGATTTAGAAAATAATTACCGATAAATTCCATTTTGCATTCTTTATTATTTTCCAATATCATTTTGTCAAGGCAACAAGAGAACATGATCTGGGGAAGATTTTAGATAACGAAGTATACGCATTGATGCTTTGTTGTAGATGATGCTGCCGCTGCTGGTGTTAGCTAAATTTATGGCCATGGTCGTCGATGGAGGAAAGAATCGAAAGATACAAAGAAACGATAGCTGACTGAAATTATTGCGTTGCAGAGGAAATAAGCAGGAAAGCGCAGGCTCAGTCGGAGAGCCTGGGCTTTGATACCATGTAGACTAAGTGTAAAAGAAAATAAAGGAAAAATGAATATATTTATTTAAAGACAGAAGGTGTATATACATTAACCGACTTGAGACAAATGACCTAACTAATGAAAATGAGATTAACAGAATTTATTTCAACTGATTCACACACGGGCTACTATACCAAACGACATGAAGTACTCTTATACTTTCATACTTAAAAAAATCTATCGAAACAGCCCCTACAATTTTGTATTTTAATGAATAAAAAAATAGTAATTTACTATTTATAGGGAATGTAATGAGGTGAATTAGTTGGGGCTAGAATTCAAGGACACTCGTAGGTAAACTTTGTTTTTTTTGTTTTCTAGAGAATTTGAGAGCTTTTGTTCGTAAAAGATTTAATTTATATAAAAGGATGTGTTATGGTCCTATACATAATCGTTGCGTTTTATCTGCGAATGCTGTTCAGACAGTTTATCACCTATTTTTTGATTGCCCCACAAACTAGCAATAAATGGGTTGATTTTGATATCCCATTCTATATCGTCGGATTGAATTATGGTCGAACACACGTAAATTCAATTTGCCGAACCAAATCCATTGACAGTTATCTATGAGTAATCATGGGCCCTGCCGCTCTGGGCAGAAAACCTAAGCCCAATTATGCAAATTTCTGGATTAGGCGTAGGCCGAGATCGGCTTCAGTAAGTGCAAGGTCTGTTCGAACAGCCTTACATTGAAAATATCTCTTGTACTTCTATGCTTTATGGAGAGATATTTCGAACATAAAGCTATAATGAGTATTCGAACGAATTTTACACTGACTGAATCCGATTTCGGGTAGGCCGGGCTTGAACTACAAATGATCACCCCAACTGATGTTTAGAGTTCCTCACATCCCTACTCTCTACTCGCAAGAAAGGCATCATACTTGTTCTTTGAAAGGTGTAGATTTTGCACTAACTGGTTCTTGTTCTCACGGACGCCATCACTATTCACTAAAATGCTATGCTCGACTTATGAGTAAGGCATCATCTTTTGAGCCCGGATCTACTCCCTGTGAAAAAGCCTGGGTGCTTTTAACACGGCAGTCCAGCCGTACATCGGGAACATCTACAGCAAATCCCGATTCTGATCTTTTCCAAAAGCAAGAAAGGTATCATACTTGAATGAAATGAAGGCTTTTTTAACACAAGATCGGTATCTACTTCATATCGTACTCGTACGGGAACCCAAAGATTGCATACATTGGTAAATTACTTGTACCTCCATTGGGATTTTAGTCAAATACTTCGCGGTTGGACCACCCTCAATTTTACCTGCTAAATTGTACAGTTATTCACGTTTGATCAGGATATCCATACCATATGGAGTTTGTTAACGGAAGAGACATAATTACTATAAACAATAAACGGAAAAGTATCAACAACTCATTCTATACCACATACGGACATACGGACAGGCCCAATGTAAATTCTCATCCTGGGCTCAACCGTAATTCTCCCATAAAAATGTTTTCCGAAGGAAAAATAAAAAATCTATGCCTTTGCGGCTTTGCCTGAAACGTGAAACGCTTTCTTCGCCTTCAATATTTTAGGACAACGCTTTTCCACTGAGTAGTCATTCCAGATATGACGATTATCGCACGGTTCCACTCCCACAAAACATACAGTCGCCCACAACGTAAATTTATCGATTAATGGGGCCATCACCATCAGAGGACCCTCAAGCATCATCTATAACTTTTGGAAAAAATGCAATAGATCGGACGGCTTCCGTTTATATACGTGTTGGTATTCTGGTATATTCTGTTTAAATCGTACTGCATCGCGTAAAAACTTCTACGTAAGACTCATTCCTTCCAATAAAGCGGCAAATTCATGTTGAACGTTGAGAAGTCGAGAGCTCTCTGCTCACAAGGGCTCAGAACTGCATATCTCTCTGTCACAGTCTTGTTTTTTCCTTTCTTCTTGTTTGGGAACCCTTCTTTTTCAAATCTTCTACGATCCTGACGTTTTTGATACACTCGTGGTTCTGAAACCAGCTTTCTTCCGATGGCAGATCCTTCTGCTGAGGTTCCTCTTCCTGTCTCTGTAGAAGAAATGCTAAGAACTATATGTGAGCAACAGTCACTGCCACCTGCTGAAATGAGCGCAAGGAGAGAGCTGGCTTTGCTTGGAGAAGAGGCGTCTCTGCAGCTTCTTCGGCGAATTTCCGGTCAAAGAATCCGATCCTTGACAGGATTTATCATCTATATGGCGAGAAGTGTGTGTACAACCGTGTCTAGTCGGAAAAGCGTGTGCTTCTCCGGGCCACGTAGTTCTGAAAGTTCAGTTTCTGTTTCTATGCGAGGTAACTTCATATGTGCATAATCCTCTGTTTTTGGTTCCTTGTGAATATCGTCGTCGTCGTCGTCGTTTGCATTTCAACATTTCTTTATGCCCATTTTAGGTAATTATGCACTGACAGATTTCACTTGTCGTGCTATGATCTTAGTAAAGTTGTAATTGTAACTTATAAATTATCTCTCTTTAAAATGTTATTGGTTTAGTTCAGCATTTGGCAAACGCCCCCATCCACTCTTCCCGATTTAGGTATTCTGTGTATCATGCCTTGGACAGTTTCCGAACTTTTGAGAAAATAGGAGCCGTATAAGTTGTGTCTCTGCAATCTTCACTGAATTTGTAGTTTCTGATTTGGGTTACCCCCTTAACTCATCGTTTCTTGTAGGCTATGATGATGCTACCTCTCACTCTCCGAGGTTAGAGCGTCTCAATAGGCAGAAGAGCGGCTTGGGTTTGGAGGGGATGAGCAGAGAATCCCTTCTCATGGCGTTGGGCGAACTGGAATTTAGGAAAGCCTTCTTGATATTAAGTTACATTGGCAAGTAAGTATATGCTTAGCCCCTGCTAACTATCACACTGCTTTCAACCTTCACAATTTGCAGAGACAATTGACATACCATTGCATTATTTCCTTTGCAGGAATAGACTGGAAGATGTTATGACAGTGGAGACGATTAAAAAGATTAGAAACTTGCCAATGGTCAAGTTTGAGTCAGAGGTTTGGAATGATATAGGCTGCCACTATGTCGAGCATGCAGATAGAATGAAGGTGGGTGGATGTTTTCACTCGACGAGTGCTTCTGTTTTCTTCTTTTTTTTTTTTTTTTTCAACTTCATGGAGAAAAAAGTTTGAGAAATTGTTACTGAAAGTACTAACCTACAAATACGGTGCAAATTTAACTTTTATTATTTTTACTGGTGGTGGTTGAATAACATATATTATTTCTACCATGAGATCTCATATAGGTCAAGTTATATCTATTCAACTATGTAATGTTCCTATTTATGAAAATGTCACTTGTGAGCATACTGAGTAAGCACTCGATAAATTTTTTGAAGCTGTCGTAAAAATTTTTGAATCATTTTAAGGGTAGGGTGAGGGTATTTGTGGGACAGGTGTCAGAAAATTTATTGAGTGCTTACTTTAGTGTGCTCACCAAGTGTGCCTACCTGTCTTGGAAACATGGCAGCCTGGGCAGATATGTCAATATAATTGTCTTACATCACATATCCATTTTTGATTTTACACAATCTCTTGGGGCTTAGAGTATGTCTTAGAAATATACATACAATGTATGTTGCATAGAGTTGAGCTTAGGATGAATACAAACATGAATGCATCTTGTGCTGTTAACAACTAACGACATTAACTTCTTCCTAGACATGAGAAGAAACTGGATTATGCTGTCTTTATCCTGAGCCTATCTTGTTGATTTCCTGGTTCTTTCTTTCCCCATGTAGTATCTTGATATAATCTATGTTGCATAGGGGTGAACATAGCATGAATGCATCTTGAGCAGGTAACAACTAACAACATTAATTTTTTCTTTCTAGATGTGAACAGAAACTGGGTTAGTGTCTTTTTCTGATGAATCTATCTTATTGATTATCTGATTCTTTTTTTTTTCCATGTAGTTTCTTGATTGGGATTCTGGAAAAACATACTTGTATCACTGTCTTGTTGATCCAGATGGAAGCTACAGCTTTAAGGTATCCATTTCTTCTCTAACATATTTGCTAGCAGAAACAATAATATTTTCTGCTGCTTTGTTTTCATTGCTTCCTGTCCCTAAATTCTGCTGTGCCCATGATGCATAATCTAAGGTCTCTTTCTGGGAACTACCTTAATTATGTAATTCGTTTAAACTATGTGAATAAATACCCCTATAAGAATATATCAACTGTTCTAAACCTCCACATGCAGATGAGAGATCACATATTTTCTTTGCTTGTTTACTACTCTGAACTTCATGTTTCCTTGTAGTTACTGTCACCTATGATATTCACACACACACGGGAAGGACATAAATGGACAAGGTCTCTGTTACAAAATTTGCATGTAAAGATGAAATATCCAAAATGACAAGGCATTCAAGTACAGGGTATCTGGGTTTCATAGACTATCACCGTTTCGCCATATCTCTTAGGTCATAATTTTTCCACTTTTACTGGTTCACCTGCATGCATTAGTTGGTAATAACTGTCTTGATAAAATCTATTGTTGATAACCGCTGTGAGTTCTTTTCAACTGCAATACATAAATCATTAAGTAAGTGTAAATGGTGACAACGTGTTATGTATAACAAGTTGTGACAGTTATTGCTTTTGAAAGAATGTTTTTCATTTTGAATATCATCTTATATTTGAGATAAATAATTTTCTTCCTTAGGAGAAAATGTGTGTGATGGGCTTTACTAATTACTACCATGGCACCATAGCAAATTCATGTATAATATGTTCATTGACATTTTTTTGGAGAAAATGTCCCAAATTCCAAAATTTCAAATATATGAAAAAATATGTTAATAATTTGGGAAATGTATGATATGTTAATAAATTGGATTTTAAAGAATAAACTATATATTTTAAAAATAAATATGTATTGATGTTCTTAAATATACATATATTTAATATACTATACACACAATTACATATATAAAACATGCCATTTTTTACTTCAAACTATTTAAATGAGAATGTATTAAACATGATGCGGATTTGATCAATCTCTTGCCATATTACATTTATTGCTCCAAATTTTTGCCATGTTTTTTGTTCTTAATTTTGAATAACTAGGGGATTTAATAGATTACTTTGTAGAGAGATCTATGTTTTTCATATTTCTATTATATTCATAGATCAGTTTAAGTGTTTGTATATCTTTTAAATGAATTATTTGTTGATGTAGACCAACAAACTTATTGATTGTTCAGGGGCCCTATTTGGATACCAAAAAAACTCATCTTCAGAGGGTTTTAGGAGATGACAAAGTACTAATAGTCAAGTTTATACAAGAGTCAACCAATAGAAATGGATCAACTAGTTATAATATACTCAATACCAACTATGGTAGGATTGCAAAAGAAGGAATTCTTCTAGGTTTGCTCCGTTATCATTTTTTTGGTAAGTTTTATCGTGTTCTTGATTAGTGATGGAATTTGAATGTTGACTCCAATTTAGTCCTTTGTTTCCTTTAATCTTTGTAGTTTGTGATTACCATTATTGTCAGGGAATTGTCAATCATTATAATTTTGCATTCCCAGTTACGTGAGAATTTGCCCCATGTTTTGTTAAATGTTTATATTTGGATCTTTTGCCTTAATCTCCTAAACTTATACTATTTTGAAAGGATAGAAGTTGTAGGAAACATTTATATCTTATGACTAATTTAGATGCTTTTTTTGATTAAAGATCAGTTAAACATTCTATTATCTGAAGTATTCTCAAAGTGTATAAATGAATCTAGGTCACAGAGTGGTGCCTTGTTGTCTAGGTGATGAATTTTGACAAAAGAAACCTAGATCCTTAGATTGATTTCCTTGTCATGATAACAATCAAAAAACACCAGAGTTAAGAAATATGAAACAATATCCTAAACAGAAGTGAATTTCACCCAATAAAGCATGTCAGATGATCATATGATTCATATCCACAAAATGGTAACATTTTCTATCATTGTTTGCAGTACTTCAGACACACTATTTCAATACAATGTATACATGGACAAACTAACCAGTCAACAGATTAACAAGTTAAACAAACTAATGGATAAATAAACTAATAAGAGTAACGTAGTGGTGATAAACCTGCTTCTAATAATGAGGAGCAACTCTTTCCAAGTAAGCAACAATTGAAATCTGACAATTCATGATGCTAAATCAGAAATATACATACATACACCTCCATTTTGAATGAAAGATTGAATTACAAGAATACTCTTAGATCAGTCAATACTCTTACTGATTCTTCGACTAGGTCTGGGGGTCAACAGGGAAAGCATTGTTTGGGGAATGCCTGGACTTGGGATGAACTTGTAAACTGATAATGGTATTTACATTGTAATTGGGGGCAGCTTATGCTGTTACCAACTTTGTACGTTATTCTGTTGTTGCAATAAAAATTACACTTACTGTTGCTTATGTAGAAAGGTTAAATTATGAGAAACAAAGCGGTTGGGGGGAGATTGCATGGGCAAGAAGACAGAGAAAAAGAGAAACAAAGGATTTGAGACCATTTTCTCATTCACACATACATTCTTTATTTTTACAATGAATCAAAGAAGCTAAGCTCCAAGCCCTGATTGTTTTCAGTCTTCTTGTCCAAACACTAGTGATTGATTGATTTTTTGAAGCTTGGTTTCTTTTTTTTTTGGTTTACTCTGGTTCCAAAAGTCTTGATAAATAATGATAAAAAATATTGATGGCCCTCTCTTTAATTGCCAAACTCTTAAAAAAACAATAGTTTGGCACTGAGAGAGAGAAATGTTTTGATGTAGCACTGAGAACTGCAAAGTCGTTACCCCCTCACACATATAACTGCTTGTTATGGCACCTTAGTGCCTAGACAACTGCCTTTCTGTATCAGGCAGGTGCCATATGCAATATATTCATGGCAACTCATATGAGTGCCCTTGAGAAACTGCCTTGTCACCTAGGTGCCTGCATGGGTGACACATTGGTAACTGTTTTATTTGTGACATATGTGCTGCAGGGAGCACTTTTGTCTTTTTACTCAAAGGTGCCACCAGCCTAGCTTTTTGACTTTGTCCTTTGATTTCTCTCTATTTTTCTGATTTTCTTGCTGTTAATATGATATCAGAGCAGGACTCTAGGGCCTGAGAACAGATCAATCAACTCCTCTTTCCTTTTTCTCTGATTTCTGGGATTGAAACTCAATAACAGTTAATCGGCTTGGTCTGAGACAGGTTGAAGTGCTTTTGTTTCTCTCTTTTCTTGGTCGTGTGCCAAGGAAACATTGTGATCATAGTAGTTGAATGTTGTGAGGAGGTTTAGTACTCTTCCAAGGCTCTGTGTGGATTGTGTGATCCTTGTTTAATGAGGTATGTGTTGGAATCAGTTAGCCTCTTCTCTGAGGCATTTTATTTATGTTTTTCTGTTCTTTAGTGCCACAGGGGCACTCTTGTAATTTCCTTTTCTTTTTATTATCAGTTGGGTCGGCCTAATATATAAGCTAATAGCAGGCGCCACCAGCTACAAGTTTGAATCCAGTTTTTTTGTCTCTCTTCTCTCTTCCTCCTCTCCTCCTCTCCTTCTCTCCTTCTCTGACATCTCTTGCCTGAAAACATGGTATCAGAGCGGGTCTTCTGAGATTAGAAGCTGCGAGATCGCTCTCTTCTCTCAGTTTTTTTTTCTCAGTTTCTTCTTGCTGTGGATCAAACCTGTCAAGGAAGTGCATTGGACTGATCTGAAGTTTTCTATGCCCTTTCTTCCCTTCTCTCTTGGTCGTGTGCCAAGAAACAAATTAAAGAGAGGGAAGTTTGATGCTGTGAAGGTTCTTTTACCTGTTTTTTGTGGATCGTGTGGTCCTTTTTTTGTGTACCCAGGTAAGGGGGTTATGGAGGTCTGAATGACCTGTAAGTGCTGTGATTTTTTGTTCTCAGTATTGTGGATCATGTGATCCATTTCTGTGCCCAAATAGCTGGGTGATATATGTCAAAATGACCTGTAACTATAATACAGTGGTTGACTATAATTCTTGGGAATTTTTCCAGTAGATGTATGGGATCCAAAAAAATTTATACCTGACTAAGACTTAACTGAACTGAACTGTGGCTGAACTGGTGACTGAATTGGGGATTGAACTGTGACTGAACTGGGGTCTGAACTGGATGAACTGAAATTGAACTGTGACTGAACAGTGGCTGAACTTGACTGAACTGTGAACGTAGCTGAACTGAAGTGTTAATAAATTGTGGCTGAACTGTGTTTTTTTTAAACCGAACTATCCTTTAACATGTCATCTGAGGATTCTATCCTGTCTAGTGGGTCCTCTTGTCAAAGTGGAATGAGTGGGGGTTTTGACATGAGTTTCCCCATGGCCGTGATACCTTTTGATAGTCTTAACTACCTAGAATGGTCAAGGGGAATCAAGTTCTACATAACAACTAGGGAGAAGGTAGGCTATATTAATGGTAAAACAAAAGAACCAAAGTCTCAGGGGGTGGAGCATGATAGGTGGGATCAGGAAAACAACATGGTGATGTCATGGCTGTTACTTTCTATGTTGCCTCTTGTTAGGAAGATCTTCATGTGGGCTGAAACAACTATTGAGATTTGGGAGCAGGCAAAATCTACCTATTCAAAGCAACGTCATTATGCCAAAATATACCAGTTGCAAGCTGCCTCCTCTACTTGTAAGCAAGGGGAGAGGACTCTCTCAGCCTATTATTCAGATTTGATCTCAATTTGGAAAGAACTAGATCACTATCAGAACATTGACTGGAAGTGTGATGTTGATGCTAAGGCCTACAAGTCTCTGGTTTCCCAACAATAGGTTTTTGCCTTCCTCTTGGGGTTGAACCCTGTATATCAGTCCCCTAGAGTTTAGATATTAGGAAGTAAAGTGATATGACCCAAAAATTTGACACATAGTTCTCAGACTCACAACAGAGTTCACACACTTGAATATCAACAAAAGAACTAGTATTCATTCAGCAGAAAACAGTAACAGTTGGTCGGTACTTCGAGAGACCGCCGGCTCTCCCAAACACTCTCAATATTCTTCACTCCAAGAAAAACATGCCACCCCCCATCCCCCAAAGCCC